CTAACTAGGATAGACAAGTAACTAGAGGACTGTTATGCCAAACAATGGAGCAAAGGTCTCCAATGAAAATATCCAAAATGCAGGTTACATATTCATCTATTAAACTAAATAAATCACCACTATGTCACATTGTCACTCATTATCTAAAGCAAAGTGCAGTGCGGTAAAAATTCCAGGAAGCAAATACTTAATTTCTATCACTAACCATTTTGCTAGCGTGAGACCATAACTCAATCCTATCAAAACTGAACCCAATATGTGCAACAAAGAATCTAAGACACAGGTAAAAAAAAAAAAAAGGCAGTGTCAGGGGCTAAATGTTTACAACCAAAAGAAAAGAAAAATAGCACTCACAATTCTCAATCCAGATCTTCATATCGAGTCTCAGAGCCAGCACCTGTCCCTGAATCTGTCCCAGAACCTGACCCACCACGCCCAGATGGCCATGACAATGATATACTAAAACTCCTCCCCAATGTCCGATTCTCCGCACCTGAACTCTGCCCATCACTATTGTCACTCCCACTCCCTCCGCCCCCCTGGCCACCTTGCATCCTTCGGTTGTAATCTTCATCCTCTGTGGGCAATTCATACCGACAAACAGGACATGAATTGTGCATTTCGAGCCACGGCAATATGCAATATTCATGGTAGAGATGTTTGCACGGCATCTGCCTGGCTTCAGCACCTTCCTCGAACTCGTCCTTGCAAACTGCGCACTGATTCATCTCCGAATTCATTACCTCGCCAGTTATTTTTACAGAAGGGAGGGTATCGATCGCAGACTTGGCAGCAGGTGGGGTGCCATAGCGGTTAGGATCGTTCTCCATGAGCTGCTGAATGAGCTGTTCGAGACCAGGCCCCATGAAGTAGTCTCCAAGATTGATAGGCCGGAAGCCTGTCTCCGACGGTTGGTTCTCGAACACAACCTGGACATGAGCCCCACTGGAGTGCAGGTTCTCCAGATAGTTCTGCACAAAGTTGAAGGGATCAAACCCTTGTGGGTTGCCTGAGGCTGGCCGGGCTGATCCAAAAAGGTTCTGGAGGTCGACGGTGCCAGAGGATGACGATGGTGTCGGAGAGGAGGATGATAAGAGGAGCTGGAGAACGTTTGTGAGTGAAACTGATAGGGGATTGAAGGAGTCATTAAAAGGGCTGAGATATGAAGGCGGATTTGGAAATGGTGGATTAGGGTTTTCATATTCTTCGATGAAGCCTCCGTTGCAGATGGGGCAGGAGACGTCGGAGGAGGGGAAGACTGTCACGTTGACGGTGCGTTTACATTGGTAGCAAAAGAATTGTTTATTGCTAACGCCTGCTGCGTTCGGATCGCTGGTGGAGTTCCCTGCGGTTGACATGTTCTTCTATCGATTTCTTTTGGCAGAAACGATTCTTTCGATGGGGAGAGAGGGGCTGGCTTGGGACTTTAAACGGCTAAATTTAATTTTTCAGCTATTAGCTATCATCGTCTTATCACTTTAGGCTAGAAACTATATTTTCTCCCAATTCTGTCTATAAACTTTTTAAAAAGTATCAAATTGGTCTACTCATCAAAACTAAAGCCACTACAAAGAAAATTTAATCAACTGAGTCTTTTTTTTTTTAGCCATAGTTCAACTAAATCTTTAGATAGATTGTGTTCTTTATTAAATTTAATTAATTAAGATTATTACCTACTCATCAAAGGAACTTGAGATTATCACCTTATTTTGTAATTAAGTAGTAAATATTATAATCTTACATTTTTCTCAAATTAAATGTAAAAATTAGAAAACCCAATTAAATGCGCAAAGCTTCAAATTTCCTCTTATATATGTATTGGCATTGGATTTAACATCATAAATTTTACTAGTTCGTAAATCAACATTAAAACATTGATTTCATCTTAAAATTAAAACATAAAAACAAAAGTTAAAAAAAAAAAAAAACTCAAAGATATTTCATCATCTTTTTCCTCAAGAAAAGGAATAGCAAGAAGCCAGGAAACATAGCTTCATCCCTATCAGTAACTTGAGTTTATAGGCTCTTTATCTCAACTTTGATGTGATCCTTTGGCATGGTGTTGATGGATTTGTGGGTTCTCCAATAGCAATGAACCTTGGTTTCATCTCTATTAGCGACTTTTGGCAAGTTTGTCCGCACCATCAAAGAGGTTAGACAAGCATAGTAATGAGCAGAATCATACTTGACCATGACATGAAGGCTTTAAGCAAAGTCCCTTGAGGTGGAGCTTCTTAGATTTGGAAAAAGATCCAGATATAAGAAGGAAGATTCTCTTACTAGTGCCTTAAATTGGTGGCCTAGTGCCACTTTGTTGATCGTTGGACTATAATCTCCCCTCCTCTCATTACTAGAATCCTTTGCTTCCCTTCCTCATGTTGTTGGAGCTTAGGTTGCTTATGCAATGTACTTTTTTTCTTTTTATACAAAATATATATATATATAGATATATATTATATACGACTCTTGGACTTGCTTGAATTTTTTTTAAAAAATATTAATTAAAAAGTATTATAATGCTTATGTGGCAGCCAATGTGATGTCACTTTGATGTCCACCTAAGTAATGACATAGATTTCTATTAAAAATACTAACGGAGTTTTATTAGGTAAACCAATTTGATATTGTTTTGAAAGTTTATAAATGAATTTGAGAGAACATATACTTTGCAAACTAAAGTGATAAAAAGAAATAATTAATAGATGAAAAATTACATTTAGCCAATTTTAAGAACATCAAGTTAAGAGCTATCCCTGTAAGGCATTAAATATTTTGATATTTACCTTTAAGTACTTTGAGAAATTTAGAATTTTAGATGGCTTGACCCTCGAATTTGAAAAGAAAAAAGAAGAAGTAAAAATCAAGGTAATTTGAATTAATTTGGATTATTTAAAATTATAGAATAATTTCTCTCTCTCTTAAACCTTGCTAGTGACCATTCTAGGGTTAGCTAATAGTGAGAAATCACTTCTCAATGTAGTATGTGTTTTACTCAGTTTTAGCTGATAGCGAGAAATGGCATGTAACTTATTGCATTGTAAGGTTAAACTTTTTATGTGTTTTCCTTTTTTTCTTTTTTCTTTTTTATTTTGTACAGTTTTATTTGCAATTTTTCATAACTTTATTACCAGGAACTGTTTGTGGAGCAAGTTCAAAATGAAGTGGGACAAGGTTGATGGTGAAGATGTTTTGTTTAGTGGGTAAAGGTTGTTAAGGAAAGTGCTACTTGATATGATTCTTTCATTATTAGAGAAATATATAATCTTTGATTCTGGACTGTGTAAATAGAAACTAATTTTTTTGTTTCCTTTCTTATGTATCTTGGCCAATACTCTACTGCTATGTAGATATTTGTGATTGATTGTTAATAACATAATCGTTCAATTCTGCCATTCACCTTGTTTCATTAGTGGTATCAGAGCCCTAATCTCTAACGAGTTCTGTTCCATTCACCATGGCCGACCACTCACCCCCAAACTCACTGCCCAAATATTATAATCAGCCTAGGCAGCAATTTAATAGAAGGAAGAATGGAAATTGGAGGCCCAACAATGCCAGAAATTTCAATTGTCAATTGTGCAATCAACCTGGACACTTTACAAACAACTGTCCATATTTTCATGTGCAAGCACAAGCACCCATGGCAAATTATGTTTCTTCCAGTGGACTTTCTCGCAACACATGGTTGATTGGTTATGGTGCCAATAATCACATAACAAATGATCTTGCGGCAAACCTTGCCTTACACTTTGAGTATGATGGACCTGAGGAACTCCAAATTGGCGATGGTTCAAGCCTAGAGATTACACACATAGGTAATACAACTATACCAAACTCCTCTATTCCTTTAAATAATGTTCTATGTGTTCCCCAAGCTTCTCGCAACCTTATCTCTGTATCTCAACTTTGCAAGAACACTAATACCTTTGTTGAATTTCATCCCAACTTTTTTTAGGTGAAGGATCGTCGCACTGGGGCAATTTTACTTCAAGGGCCAAACAAACAGGGAGTTTACCAAATTCCTGACAAGGGAAATTCTAAATCTCCTTCCATGGCATTTGTTGGTGAACATGCCTCAACATTAAATTGGCATTCGCGACTTGGGCATCCTTCTTCTAAAATTTTACAATTAATTCTTCATAGTTTTCATTTACCTAGATTTAATAAATCTGGTTTTGACTCTTGTGAGTCATGCTTGTGCTCTAAAAGTCACATACAACCTTTTGGTAATTCTTCTATTCAAAGTCATGCTCTTCTTGATGTTATTTTTTCGGATGTTTGAGGTCCTACCCCAGTTTCTTTAATTGATGACAATAAATATTTTGTGCTTTTTATAGACCATTCTACTCACTATATGTGGATATATCCTTTAAAAAGAAAATTTGAAGTTTTTGTTATTTTTCCTAAATTTTAAACTCTTGTAAAAAAACAATTTGGCAATAATATAAAGTCGTTTTATTCTGATGGGGGCGGTGAGTATGTCAGTCTTCGTCAATATTTTTCTAACCATGGGATTTCTCATTTTACTATTCCACTATACACACCCGAACTCAATGGAATTAGTGAGTGGTGTAATCGGCAAATTATTGAAACTGTACTTGCTCTTATGCATATCGCAAATCTTCCAACTTGGTTTTGGTCATATGCAGTAACTACAGCTGTCTATCTTATCAACCGCCTGCCA